TATTATTATTGTTTATATATAATATGATGTTGTACAGTATTCAGTGGCAAGCTAGCTACAATGGCAACTGGTCATGGCACAGCTATAAACCTGGATCTATTTGAATAATGCAAATCATTAAAAACTTGCATACTGTGGCATGACCTGTTGGTATGGCTAGCTCACTGATTTAATAGATCAGTGGGCTAGCTTCACCACCGACAGTATTATAATTATAAATACAAAATATTCAAATAGTTGAATAATGCAAATCATGAAAAACTTGCATACTGTAGCATGACCTGTTGGTATGGCTAGCTCACTGATCAAATAGATCATAGATCAGTGGGCTAACTACACCACTGACAGTATTATAATTATAAATACAAAAGCAGGAACTTATAAGCATTGAAGGTATTCATATATGTAAAACTGTCCATGCCAAGAAAGTAGAATTAGAATATTTAGCTGACCTTTGACCTTGTGCAAGGTGTTTGGTATTCAAATTGCACTTTTCCTACTTCCTGGGCTGTTTACATGATGGAAGGTGGGATGATTTTTGATGTATTGAAATAAGTCACCAGGTTAAACAAAAGTTTAAATGCTTGTTAACAGAACTTAAATATTCTAGAGAAGATCATGTGTACATTCAAAAAATAAGAACAGATTTACCATTTAGCTCGAACACGTCGACACGCGGCGATTATTTAGGATATAAATCGATAAAAATCGAAAGCATTTTGTCGATGAAAATCGATGAATATCGACAATAATCGATAAAATTGGCTATAATTTTTTGTGACTATCGATTGGTCATCGGTTGATCAATGTGAATTGATATCAATTAAGTAATTAACATCGATTACCATCGATTGATCGATTGGATTCTCGATGATCGGTTTTTATCGATTAAGTACGCCGGGTATAAATCTATCTCTAGAAAATAATGAAGTTTTTTGCTGAATTGTGCACCGTTAGCTTATTTCAATACATCGAAATCATCGTGCCTTTCCCGCCTCATATCTCGTCCTGACAAAGCGGGATCATAAAAACAGCCCCTTATTCAGAAAATTGCGCATGCTGCCTTTGATCCCTTGGGCATGAGGCAGCACTTTCCTTGCGATAGTAACTTCTAGTATAGACAAAATTGAGGTAACAATTCTTGGTAAATATCAAAACGGGACTTCTTAATTGCCATAAGCATCAATTTAGAGATCTTGGCTCAGAGCCGACGGCGCGGGTACTAATTCCGCCCGGCTATTTACGCCTGGGGAAAGGAACGCACTAGCGAAGTCTAAAGTTCATCAAATATCGTGGGCGCATGGCTCACCGTTCATGGGTGGTCATCCTCACTGATCTCAAAATATGTAGAGGACTGTCGTGAATAGTGATCACTGATTGGTCAAATTTGAAATTTGCATTGAACGACTGCATTATTGACGACAGCAAAATAACAAACATTTCTTGCAAGTTGTATTTTTGCAAGATTTAGTGTAAATTTCAAAACCTTTCTGAGAGCCAAAAAACGTCTAAAAGAATAGAGCAAAGTCGCCGACGTTAATGAAGGTAAGTTTGTTTTAAATATTGATGTATTGTTTGTTTTATAATTGATATATTTATAACTGATAGTGGTGGGCGATACTGCGAATATCGAACTGATACAATCATTGCGTATATAAGTGAAAAAAGACAGCATATAATTTCAGTGTAGTTTTATTAATTACCCTTTCTTTTGTATATTAAAGTATTAAAGCAAAGTTATTTTCATGCGAGAATTTGAAATCAATTTATTTCAAGCTCAATGTTTACCGATAATTCGATAAAAGGCCGTTTAGTTTTAAGAAGATTTTAAAACATTTTGCGAAGCGTTTGTGGTTGAATTTTACATTAAATTGAAGTTTATATTACGTATAATAACATACCTAGCATATATATGTTTGGGAAATTGATAATTTTGTTATTAATTAAAAGTGATATTTTGGAGGGATTTTTCAATTTTAAAACTATTCTTAAAATTATCGTTAATACCATGACAACTACTTTCAATTCTTCATATTCAGAAAACATAATGTTTTGTCAGTAAGGCGAGGGTTTCTGCATGCATGTATTTTCTAGTAGCATTTTAATCCCCCCCCCCCTCCAATAGCCGCGTTCCCTTTCTTTGACTGAATTAAGATTACGATGCCCCCTCTAGCTAGTGTTATTTATATTCTCTATGGGGAGAGGGGGTTGGAAGGAGGTTGGAGACCGCCATTGAAAATGAATATAGCTGGAACCGCTACCAGATAAACTATCGAGATTTTGTTGGCAACTTACTCGTTTTGAATAATGTGGAAATTTATATATATTTATTATACCTAACCAGGAACAGCTGCGAAAAATGCAACTTTAGGTCCCTGACAGGAACGAATTACCTGTGGCCCTGTGATTTCGGTGCAGGGCCGCAGGTTCGATTCGCAGGGGCGGCCGCAGGTTTGAATCTTACCAGGGACCTATAGCTAAAGTTGTTCGCAGCATTTTTCGCAGCTGTTCCTGTTTAGGTCCAATAAATGTATATAAATTTCCACTCGATAATTTCCGTCTACAATATACTCTTCAACATTATTCAAAACGAGTAAGATGCCAACAAAATCTTGATATTTACCTATAACCTATCCATGGCAGTATACTAGTTTGTATACATGAACTTGTGGTTAGAGCTCGACAACTGGCCTCTGTGTGTGGCTCAGTTGGTTAGAGCGCTGCACCGGAATCGCAGGGCCGCACTGAGTTCGATTCCTGCCAAGGACCTAAAGTTGCATTTTTCGGAGCTGTTGGTGGCCAACTAATCCTGAACAGTCTGTGCCCGACTGCCCGTGTAATAGACAGTTTTAGATAACAAGACGCGGACGTCATGAGGACGTGGATGTCGTCATTTGGCGCCAACTATTGTCAGCTTCTGGTTTGCGACGTCGTCTTGGACGATTTCACGACGCGAAAATACATTTTTCACGTCCTCTCTAGATTAACGTCACAGATTTTTTCTTCTTTTGAAAAAATATGAGACTATGCATAATAAAAATCATCCTGTTTTGTTCCCCATGTATTGTTTAATGATACTACTTGAAAACAATACAGGAATGAACAGGTAACAAGAAAACAAAAATTTGCTTCGAAAAAGACAAACAAGCCGTCCCAGATTAAAACCCGGAAGTGAACGCGAGGTGCATACGTCATTTTCACGTCCTAAAACCGTCTAATGTCAATAATAACAAGACCTCTATATATTGATAAGGATGCAACTATCTGAAAAATACAAGGAGAACTTCGACGTTTCGAACGAAGGCCCTTCGCATGCAGTAACTTCCCGACGAAGGGCCTTCGCCCAAAACGTCGAGGTTCTTGTATTTTTCAGGTATTGCGTAGTTAATTGCATCTTTATCAACCGAAGTTTTGTTTTCCAATTAGCCTTTTCCCAAAAGGGATCACAGTGCATTCTGGGATCGTTTGGAGGGACAAAATATATGGTGACAGGCGTCAAATATGTGAAAGAGTACAAGTATCTACCTTCAAATATCAACTTTTTAGACGACCAAAAATGAAATATTTCCTTTTCACATTAAACTTTTAATTTAAATGTGTGCTGCCATATTTCTTGTCCCTCCAACATGGGATTCGCGTGACTAGACCCAGGACTTTGGGAAAAGGCTAATTAGTTCTGGCTTTTTTAAATCTACCTAGTACCTGCAGCAAAAAAGTGAGGTGTTTAACGAGTTTTAGCTTCGTATTTTCGGAAAAAATGAAAAACGTTTGGACATGCATATGAATGCCGAAGCAATTTTAATTTATTCTTTTGTATATTAACTCGGAAAAGATATACTATAAAACATTTTGACTGTCCTAAAACTTATTTTCTACTAAACTCCATGCAATGCTATATTTGAGCAACCGCACTAATATTTTCGCCCATAAATTCTGTTATAATATATCCGAACTCTTTCTGCAATAAGGCCCATGCAATAACTCGTCGTTTTTTTACGATCCCGCGATCTCAGTACTTGAAGTCTTGAACGATTTAACTGTTTTTATTGAACTGAAGTACTTGAGTGAAAAGTGTAACTGTCTGAATATGAAAAAGAAAAGGGTGAAGGAAAATTATACGATCAATATATAAGTAGGTTATTTTTCAACAAAATTTTGTAAAAACGTTTTTACGTACCACTAAAAAGCGACTGACATGTGCGCCCAGCCCCCTCCGAACCCCCCGACTTAACATTCCAGTTTACATATAGTTTAATGATTTTGATCAGGATTTGATAGCTCAGATATTTATCAAAAACCCATTTTCAATTTCCGCGAACGCGAAGAACGAAATGCCAATGATTCAAATATACAAAATTCTAATTTGTGTCAAGCGCACTTCCAGAAACTGCTGACTTTGTCGCGAAGATGCCGATTGTGGTTTCTTTTAATTTCAAACCGTTTCGTTTAATTAAGAGATTTTGTTTTGATAAGGGAGGCAGCTCGTGTACCTGGGTAGCTTGAATAGCTGGGGAAGCGCAGGCATGCATGCATGCAGCGAAAATCAGTAGGGAGACGAGGCTATAATACCCGAGTTGCCCTTGTTTTTTAGAGACCATTGTTTGTTGTTACTTCCTAAATAATCTCATCTTGCGTTTATATTGAATGTATGCCCTCCCCCCGCAACGCCCCCCCCCCCTCTCTCGGCGGCTTATTTGTGTGCTTAAAAGTGGGTGAACACCTCGACAGGTTTCGATCTTAACAAAGATTTTAGATTCGTTGGAAATTTGCACATTTTTGATAATTTTTAATTAAAATGGTAGATCACTAGCTAGCAAACTATGTGCCATTTTTAGCTGTTGGAATGGGATCCCTGTAATGGGGTTCTCATATCATCATGGATATAAATCAATGAAATATCAATTATTAGTGCATGTATTATTGATATGGTTAAAAATATTTATAAAATTATTTAATGTATCATTATCTTACCAAAGATTATTTAAAAATAAATCATTTTCTATATTTGCTACGAAAAGAAAATTAATTGATAATTATGTAAGTATAAGTGGTAAATTTTTAATTAATTATTCGTTCTTACTGATTCTACAGGTGAGAAAATGTATAGCTAAATTAAATGGTGGATTTTAGATTCGTTGGAAATTTGCACATTCCCTGATGATCAGCAAACCAGTAGTGGTATTTTTTCCTTATATTCATGATGGCGGCACTCTGAAGTAGCATTAATTTCCCGACATTAATTTCGCCGGGATTCATGTTTGGCATGGCCTGGATTAATGACACAGCATGCTATTCGTAAATGTAGTTGTTTTTTAACGTGATACAAAACTGCTGAGTTCATCATACGCATACAAATTAACTCATACATATAAGTTCTAGACTAATAAATAATTCATCAAGCATTACAGTGCATGATACAACTAATTTGGAATTGAAGATTGGAAATATACTGCAGTAAATATGTTAATTGGTATATGTATTTCATTTTAAGATTAATTTAATAAGCTTAGCCCGTTCTAGACATGTTCCAAATGTAACTCAAATTTTTGGTGATGATTAGATAAACCATCTTATAGTATTTAGTATACTTATTTGTTTTCAATTTTATTCAAAAATTAGAAGCTGGTGCAAAGGCACCACATTCTCGTCAATAACATTATAATTATTTTGTACGCCGTTCTTTCATTGCTCCAGCGTCGCAGAGGATTTAGAAATCGTAGACGATCGGTAGCATCTTTGATGGTCGGTAGCATCACAGAATGGAAACCATACAGAAAGCCAACTCGGCCTTCGACACGTTCGAATTCCGGCGCCGCTACGCCATGATTGGCATTGATTCGTCGACAAAATGCACTCGCCGTGTCCCTAGCTGGCCAGTGTACTTACGAGAGGCATTAGGGAGGTTAAGCAAAGACGACGCAATGCCAAAGACGACGTGGCACATCCATAAATGGGCACATCACGCCATTTTCGCGTCGTCTTTGACGTCGGCGTCGTCTTTGCTAACCTCCCTATTCACCCCCTGAACGCCCGCAATTTTGAATATTTTGAGGGGAGCGGGTTGAATGTCTCTCATTCGCGCACTGACTAGAAACATGGCGACAGCATTGAAACGGTTACGCCAAAATCATAGACAAAACCAAGAAGTCGGCCTTCTGTAAGATCTCCATTCTGTGGTATCATCATCGACATGCTTGGGCGTCGTCGCGGACATCACGACACCTTCCGAGTTCTTCGTGAGAACTGTTCGACTGAACTGCACTTGCATGCAATATAGTGAATTTACATCATTTGCAAGGTTTTGCACCACGAAGGTGGCTGGAAGTATAGCAATAAATTGCTATGCATGCAGGTTTCAATTAAATAAGGTAAACTATACGGCTTCTAAATCCGCATAACTGGATCGGTGCCAGAATCGGGCCTAACTTGTTAGCGCTGCATGCATTAATGGATAATTATTATGGGTATATTAGTGCTGTAAATGCATCATTACAAATATTGCATAAGTATATTATTGGGCTTGCAATCTCAGGAACAGGGCGATGTTATGCAAGTGCATTATATATCATCCGACACCTCGCGATTTTCTGAACCATGCGCTGATATGTAACTTGTAAGGAAATCGTCAATTTGATAATCCTAATAAAAAAAGTTAAATAATAAAAAAATTAATCTTCCGATACTCAATACAATATTACTTGCACTAAGACACAAAAATCATTGAAAAATATATGATTTATTAAAAAATATATGACGAACAAAAGAGCGCTCACGAGAATAACGTCGGTTTACTTTTTGATCGCGATAAAATTTTCTGAATTTAAAATAACACGGTAATAATTGATGAAACAGTATTCAAAACGGCGACGTAAAAATAGATTAAAGAGCACGATCAAAAAGTAGATCGTAACTTTAGTCTTATATGTGTTAAACGTATTAATTTAATACAAAAATTTGTGGGTCTAATAGACATTGTTCATGGAGAAATTGCTCAAATGTTGGTTAAATTCGAATGAAAATTGGATGAGAAATTAGCAAAATTTTTCTTGCCTTGCCTGGTAGAGTAAACTGAATGCATAATTAACCATTGTATAATTCATGTATCGTACATAATTTAATTCGCTGGTGAGGGTATGCAGTCCTCGAGTCCCCTCTAGACGGTCCTCGAGTCCCCTCTAGCTCAGTAATTTTTAACCCCTATACATTATAGATCCATATATAGACAGAAAAACTGGTTAAAAATCAGCGTTTACAATGTTTCAATTCTGAAATAGATTTGAAGCACTGCATATCCTCCTGTAGACAAACACTTTGAAAATACATACACGCGCGCTTTCCACAAAAATTAGTCGGCCAGGATTATAGTAAATAACTCCCTGTGGCTTGCGGAGACACTGTTGTACGAATTGATATCTCTTGGAGGAAGCCTATCTGACACTTTTTGCTCTTCCAGCATTTTTGTGAGAGCATTATTTTGACAAGTGTACAGAAATCTGATAAGTTCATATGGCTTGCAAAATGTGAAGACGTTCAAGATGATGGAATTCTTAAAAAGAAATTTCATACCAAACTTGTTTCAAATTCCAATTTTTTTCTTTCTTCGTTTACTTTCACTTCGATCATGATTTTTTTCTCGCCACTTGTCCACTTCTCAACTTCACTAAAATTGTACCTTTCAATAACAGTCTGCAAAGCATATAAATTACTGTGAAGAACCAGAAACTAAGGCAACTATCGCAATATTATATATACAGCAAAATTATTCTGCTTTGGGTTGTTTGGGGGCAGTTCGTTTACCCCATTAGAAATTCTTTTTCCCTATGTTTTGCGTTAATTAAGAGTTAAGGAGGACTGTTTTTTCTATGAAGTATAGCTAGTGATATATTAGTATGCGTTTTGTATATTAAACTATACCACCAAATTTGCAGGATTAGTTGAAGTTAGAGGTGAGTGCTATTACAAAAAATATATTATGGAGATTCAGATGCGTACTAAGCCAATGAGAAATCTGAGCAGTCAGGAAAGTCGGTTAAATGTTCACCCGTTGACATGAATGCTAGAACACTTACCAGAAACAAAATAATTTTTAAATGCCATAATTTTATATTGTACAGTTTCGTATACACATTGCTGCTTTCAAATTAAAAGCTGCGCAATGGCCAGTATATATGTTATATAATTCGTTCAATCAATATTGCTGCCATCACCTTGTCAGCTGCATTAATAAGAGCCAAACCATCCTTTTGAATTGCAAGAAGAAGCGTTTCCGGTTGTTCGCCAAACAAGTTAGTCTAAACATAAATATGATAAGTAAATTCGGTGAAATTGCATGCAATTTCTATTTTTATCATTAGTAACCTCAGAATCACGTACAACACAATGGCAGTCAGTTTAAAATGTGACTACCATTCAGCTATACTTCTATAGCCGTCATTTTCACAATGACTTGATAAAAAGGTTTTTGGACGGCTGAAACTGCAATTAAAGGGGCCCTACAGTCATTTTTAGTCAAGTAAGTATTGTTTATATTTTTTTTTATTGTCGCTACTTGACATGCGCACCACAGCATGCATGCGTCTTCCGGTGTGCGGAAATACTCATACTCATGCATGGATACTGCATGCAAGATACAGCCAAACGAATCTCCGTGGAGTCCCCTACTTAAGGTGGCTTTTCGACTAAAAAATTACTGTAGGGCCCCTTTAAAGTCTGTATTTACAAGTTTGGACTTTGCTGATCATGTTACGAAACTCGATTGTTTCGTTTAATCGGTCAATAACATCTAACGATCACAAGATCATATGTTGAATTCGGTGACATAAGTCGTATATGAACGGAATGTCATGCAATTAAGAATATCCAGAATGCATGCACTTTTCCAGAGACTATGGTCTATGTATAATTTTTGCCCCTCCCACAGAACATATAGTGGATGGGCAATACGATAATAAAACAATTTAACAATGCAATTTATAAGTACCTTGACACTAAAGAATGCTGTCCCGAAAGTTGGGCGTTGGGAAATTTCTTTTAGAAACTCGATCTTTGCATCGTCGCCGAAACTAGTGACGTTTTCAGACAAAGCTTTTTCAATGACCTGTAATGAAAAGTGATAACAATTTAAAATTAACCCAGTAATAACATCATCTTCGTCGGCTTGTTCCATTTCGTATTCTATACCATACAATTTTGCAGGGGTCGCACACTGACCACATTTGAAAGTACATATTCATATTAAATACCTGTTGCCATTCGTCCACTGACTTAAGTGAGATCATTTCGTGAGGCACCAACTTGTTCAGCATGTCACTGTAAACATGCATGAAAATAAAGATTGGTGTATATGTCTCTGTAAACATGCATGTATAAAGATTAGGTATCTGGTCAAGGTTTTAGTCCGCAAGGCTGACGCCTGTATTCAAAAAGATCATTCACGCTCACCCGTATATGGGATTGAAGTGCCGAGTGTGAATTGGAGTCTGAAGCACTCATTCTCTGAAAAATCTTGTTGATTTGTATCCATAGAGGTTGCACGAGTGCGACTTGTCTTAGTAGCACTTGTTATTACCGTTTTCAGTGGATTCGCATGTTTTAGAATCATAGCATATATGTAAAGTCAGTTATATCCACAACAGAAGGGAAGTCACCAAGTTTAGTCTTCGCAGCAAATGCCATTAATCGAATTCAATGTATTCACTCTTGAGTACGCAATTGCCTCAGTTGAACTACTCTCCGAGTGTGCTTTCAGAATACAGACGGATAATTTTGAATGCATGCATGCATGTAATGCAAATTGAAATATTCTTTTATTGATTGATCTAAACATAATGTATACATAATGATTACTGAATGATTCTATTTAGTACTGTATGTACAGCCTGCGTAGCTGTCAGTTTTTATGGGGGTTTGGGGGTTGAAGCTCCGGCGGCCAAACATTTTGCAGGCCACGTATGCGAGAAATCCTCGCCTCACTTCCCTAATGTTTGGCTGACCGCGCTGCAACTCCCTACGGTATTTTATAATAAGTCTTTTCACACTTACGGAATTTCAGACAAATGCTCAGTGTCTTCACCAAACTCCGCTCTCAATATCAATGTCGCAAGGAGAATACTTTCCATTTCAGTACATCTGTGGTATCCTCGCAAATATTTTGACAGTTCCTATATTGAATACAAAAACAAAAAAAATTTGAGTGTTCTTACTTTGGGTTTTTATAGCAAAAAACCGAACATCAAAAGTAAAAGTACAGTATAATACAGTAGAAGATTTCAAGATTTTAGAAGAGTTTATTACCAATGACAAAAATAATAAGAAAAGAACACAAGATAAATATAACAAATTAGGTAAACAGCCAACTAAAGGAGTAGTCACGAAGGACTAGCCAACTAAGTCTATAGAGAGAGAAAGTTGACAGTATATAGCGAGTACACGCGAGAGGAAAACGATGAGTACGGAATATTTTGTTTTTACAATATATCTCCAGACTCTCTACATTCTAAAAAAACACTATTTGGGTTGACTTAATATTTAGTTCTAGTTACTTTCCTGGTTCAGCATTATTTGACCAGGATGTTCTGGTTGAACTAATAACCAAGCTATGTTAGGTGGATAATTAATTAAAGTAACCAGGACATTTATTGTAACGAGGAATATTATTAAGTTAATCGGTGCCTAAGTAAGATTATTTCAAAGTTAAACAGGAAAAAATTAACCTGGGTGTTTTTGGAGCTAGTAAAACTCGATCCCATGTAACTCATACACTCAGGGCCGTGACTACAGGGGGGTGGGGGGAGACACACCCAATATTGTAATATTGCAGTTTTGTCGGGCAAGTTGAACAATTTTAACGACACGCTCGTCGGGCAAAAAATATGTAATTGAGCAAACAATTTTACATAATTTATTGAAAAGTAATAGTTGTAGGGAAAGTTTTGATAAATTTACGAAAATATTACTGAAAAATTGTACAAATTTCGGTACATTAGTTCAAAAATTAGTGAAAAAAGGTATGTCCGAAAACTTTTTCCTCCCCCTCCCCCACATAAACATATATTAATAAAAAATAATTTCCAAAATATAAAGAAAGAAATAATTTTTCATGGATGTGATCACGTTCTAAGTCGGATACTCAATGATCACTTGTGTTCAGCGGGATATAGGTTCCCACGAATTAGTTAGCCGGCTTTCGGTCCTCGTGGCTGTCGGACTAAATATATATCGGGAGTTTTAATCCCCCCACACACGTGTCTGATCATTGTCTATTCTTTACTTAGGATTAAGGATTAATAAGTTATTACCTGATAATAGTGTAAACGACAGTCCGCAACACGATCTTCCCCAGGAATAACATTTATCCAAACCTTCCTCAGGAAAAATACTTGGTAATTTATTGCTATTCCATCACCTACAAGCGAAAATTAGAATATGTAATTACATATTTTTGCAAATCATCATGTTTTCTAGTGCTATATATGAGTGAATTCACGGTAAACACTATATTTGGATAGATAACGTCTTAAGATTTCGTACGCGTGTCACACTTCACAGTTTTTCGTTTTCATTTTAAACTTTATTATGGCAAGAAAAAGTAGAACAACCCAGTGTGTGGAAGAAAATTTCGTTCACGGCACTTCCATGCGTGAGAAAAGAAGATTATGGCAGTAGGCAACATCTACATGCAACAGTATAAACAATTATCTTCTTTGGGCATAAATAATTTAAAAGCATTCCGTTTCGAGTTCTTGAGAGTCCTTTTTCCTCAGAAATGGGTGAGTATTTTTCTAATTTCTACGAAATGTGTAAGTAAATTTTCATGTTTTTAAACTGTCACTAAGTTTGTAGCTTTAGTATAGAACAATATATGGAAAATAGGATTCAAAATGTAAAAATTTGTAAATAAGGCTCGAACCTTTCTTCATTTTGTTGACAAAATTAGAAAACAATACTCAATATACCAACCTCCTTCACTTCTTCTCCAAACTTCAATAAAATGTTGGATGAAATCAAAAAAGAAATACTCTTCAGCAGCTCCAAACACTACAAAGAACACTCAGTATTAATGGCATAAAATTCATTTTTATCTTTCCAATCTTTTACTGTAATAAAATATCAGATATTCAAATTTATACCGTCAAAATTTTATTGGCCTTCTTTCATTTAGGGGTCATTTACAATTCCCCATAAAAATGCTGACAAATGTTCAACAAAATGACCCGAACTTATAACACATTTCATGAATGATGTGAACATTCCCCAATTTTATTGATTTTTCTCAGTATATATTTGCCCCGAATTTCATCTGTTCTCCCTTTTTTGTCTCGTACCCCTACACATCTTCTTATCTTATACAATATTACTGAATGATCATATACACATTATGAATTTAACAAGCAGTGGAAGATGTTTCTTCATTCAGGATATCCAAACAGCCCAGTCCATGCAAGAGGTCTTTGAAAGCGACCGAAGCGGAGTTTTTTATTATTATAATATGCACTCTTGAAGCACTCTGGTTAAGATTTTTTTGGTTACATAAAAATAACTTAATATATTTCTTAAATTTCCTAGTTGTTTTAAATTTTTTCTAAACCATAGTATATTTAATAGACCTCTTTCATAATGACGTCAAACGCGGATAAATACTTAATTTTTAAGACCAAATCGCCATGTATATTATGTTGCTGTCTTAAGGTCCAGACACACCGGACGAGATTCGACAACGCAACGCGATTTTTCAGTTTTTGAAAGTTAATAAAACAGACAATGAGAGCAAATTTTGAAAGATATGTAGACCAAATAACTGAAAATGTTATATAGGCATAGCGCTTCTAAATATTTGGAAAATTCAAACTAGGATCAAAGTTATCGGTCAGTGAAAATCGAAAATCGCGTCGCGTTGTCGAATCGCGTCCGATGTGTCTGGACCTTAACTTCTCAAACGAGTCACCATTTTTCGCTTAAGAGAAAATCGTATGTAAATCGTTGACTTAATTTAACACAAACAATTATTCCCATGATACGCAAACATCAATACGGTTTATTTTGACAACTGTAGTGAGAGATGTGCTGATGTCATGATTCCTTAAGATTCGCTCATGTAACGTGTGCATGCGCATGTGTGAAAAATTGAAACTAGATGTTCCTCAGTCTTCTTGCTAAAGCTAATGTTCTATAGTGGTTGACGTTGCACGGTCATGCACGTTCAGCGGTTTAACGCAATATATGTTTATTAATGCGCGAAGCGTGCCATTTATGGACTGTTCTAACGATCTTTGGTTGTAGTAACATGTTACGTTGGAAATTATCGTTAAAAAATTGACATGAATAACGTCACCTTTACTAGGTCGACTGATGCTATGACGTCAATATAAAATCAGCATCGGGTAAATTGTGGCATGAATAATCGGTAATTTCCGATTGTGGCACAATCGGTCAATCACTAAAATGTTCCTCATGCAGGATTCAGAATCTACTACAAGTGTGACTACAATTTTGATAAGGTCAGTTGTTTTGAAGCGTAATAGTAATACATCCTTATGGAAAGTACATAACCGTGGCTGTAAAACTCCGTTTGAGACCTTGGCATATAAGAGCCCTTTATCTTTTTGATGCATGATGATTACAAAATTATATAAAAAGGTCACCTGTATAATAAGATAAAGTGTTCTAAACCCAATATCTGAATCACGAAAACGAGGCTGTATATAGCCAAGGTTGAGCACTCCGGAAGGGCATATTTTTATTGTACCTTTGTCTCCTATCTTGAAGAAGAGTCCACAACCACTTGGATATTTCAAACCAATATTTTCTGTGATCACTGATATCAGATGACGAGCAGTTGTCGCTGATTCAACTTCAAATGACTGAAGCATAAATATATAATTGCTTAGTTGCTTAGCATAAGTGGATCGATAGTACTTTTCGCGCAATTTGATTGGTTGCTCGTGAGCTCTGGATATTCTTGCGCTATTTACCTCCGGAAGAAAATTAAATGTCTTCCAGTTTTGTTCCTGTCACAGACAAGCAATTTTTTTCAAGAAGATCGAAGCTGCAGTTCCGCCAAGCACAAAGAAAGCCTCAAAGTTTTATTTAACAGTGTGTATATGAAGGTATTCTTTAATACTATTTGTAATGAATAAAATTACTAAAAGTTGTGTTCACAAGTCTTTCGGGAGCTGTAATATAATGTTTTTGGTTATTTTTGTTTTGTTATGGTGTATGCTCACCTTCACTTCGGTGAGTAATTGTTAAATTATATATTTTTGAATAGTTAAAAATGTCAATGAAATATGAATTTTTCTGCAAACTTTTTAATTTCGAACACCACAATGGTAGCAAAGTCCGCGGGAACTAGTTCCTTTCGACCACTGCTTTGGCGTCATTTATTTAATTATCATGGCGTCATGTATACATGCGCTTGCGTGATTTCAAACTACCTGGTCGAAATCCGCTGAAAATATGCAGTTTTCCAAAAATCTGTCGCTGGGATAAGCGTGAATGTAGCGCTTTGTCCTAACATTTGCCTTAATTTAAATAACCTTAAAATTATTACGTTGCCTAATTAACTATATACAGTATATATATTATATTTCAAAAACTCATTAATTAATAATTCATGAGAAAAACACAAAGAAAAATCATAAGCATGTCGTATCTTTATATGTGATCAGTAGAGATTCCCTTGATTTACATAAACTTTAACTTTGATTTTCTCGACTTACACAACGTATTTTTTGAAAATTACTCCGCCAATGAACTTACTAGATCGATCGTTTCTGAAGCAATTAAAAAAAACAACATTCGCACTGCGTGTTTTATCAGACCTAAAGACACTCTGCTTCGACTCGTATCTTTATATCAAATAAAACACTGCTGCTCGACATTTAAATAGTACATACAAATTTTGGGAATAAATGCTATGTAAGTCAAAAAATGATCTACCTGGCAACTTCCATCAGGAAAGAAAACTTTGTGATTAATGAGGTCCATTCGTGTCTGAATAAATCCAAAAATAGCAACAATTAAGCAAACGATGATTCATGAAATTACAACTACTGCATTACATGGATGGGTTGAAATTTAAGTTGTTTTCCGGTGTCAACACCTTTGCTGTTGTAAAAGCATTCTATTACTGCGTTGAACTAGTGTGCAACTAACGACTTTCGTATACTATAACAACATGGTTGTCCTTATCTGTTCAGTTGTAGATACACAGTGATGACATAGCGCAGTATTGAAGAAGAGGAAAATGCCAAGAGTTGCCGGGAATAGTCATCTGTGCTGACTGTGCATCTACAACTGGGCCGACAAGATAAAATATTACCAATAGTTGTTTTACATGACAAGGGTTGGAAAATTGGTGGTCTACTGACATGCTTCTGATTGACCAATCACAGCATGGGATTAAGGATATTTCGTCAGCTATTAAAATGACGTCTCATTACCCATGTCCTCTAATTATATTGTCTTTCGAGCAATGAAAATAGGCAGGATGAACTCAGAATTCTATATGATACCCTTTCCTCATGGTATTAAATATCTATCATACCCAAGGAATTATATAGATTTCTGACTACACCTAGAGCATTACATGTTATCAAAATCTTATTGCATGGTTAACCTGAATGGCTTGCACTTCGGCGATATGTGGTGGATATGTTCTACGACCATGGGTGATCATCTTAACAAGCCTCATGTAACATTGTTTGGCCAAAAGGTTGCTGTCCGTTCTTGCCCGAAGAAAGTTTATCACTTCATCTTTGATGTTATCACTATACATAGTAAAGAGGAAACAGTGTTTGAGAAACTGTACACCGATTATTTAACAATTATTCGCCGAAGGCGAGGTGATAATCGGGGAATATTCACCGAGACGAAGTCGAGGTGAATATTCCCCCTCTGATTCCCCGATATAATCACCGAGCCTGAGGCGAATAATTGTTTTAGTATTTTTACACAAGTCTTTTGTGTTTTTTGGGACTGGATTTATTTTAATTTCGCTTATTTTTTTATCAGATAAAAACATGATTTTTTAAACTATCCACTTGGTCCAGGTTTTACTGTGACTGAAATCCTATACAATCGCATATTTGTTAACTCTATATATACAAGGAGAGGAAGACATTTGTCGCTCGTCCAGGATTTAATAGATATGATTGCTGTCGTACTTTCTTGCGGCTGAGTTTTCTTCAATTCTATCAGAAGACTATAGATTACAAATTGAGCGCACTTTCAAACCAGTGATGCAATAGTACTGTCAGTATAGTGTAGCATAGAATTGTCTTTTTCCAGATTTTCGACTCGCTTTAATAATCAGTTGCATCCGTGATTTCCTGCACCTCGTTATCTAACTCTAGATTCAATTCGCTAACTCTGCGTGAGCGTATACCGAAGAGGCGTTATCCGATTTCAAACCCTCCTGAAATGACAAGTTAATTTTGACTTCATCATTTTCATCATGTCGTATATCTCTTTCAAATTAATAACACGTTCTACTATAGGGTCCAATATTCTATTTAGCCAAAAATGGTGCCAATTTTCATATTTTTAAACAAATTTGTACAAAACTGAAAAACACAGAAAAATTGGTGCTTAAAAACACCTTTTGTGCAAAAAAAAGAATGCAAATTTTCTTCTCTTGCTAAAACAATCAAATTTACCTAAAATTAACAATGCATTTAATACACTGTTCTGAAAAGGATCAAATAATGCAAAAGTAGCACGACAGTTAACAGTGAAAATATGTTGGTTTAACCAAAGGCATCTCTGATCAGTTTATATATGGAAACTATATCAGTCAATGTTTCGATTTATCGAGACCATGTGAATGTTTTGAGTTATCGAGACCAAGTCAATGTTTCGATTTAGTAGAACGTGTAGAACGTGTTTAATATATTCGCGCTTTCTTCTCCGTCTGCTCTTTCGTGGACCGTGGTGCTGTTAGGCTCCGCTGCCGGAATTTTTTATTTATACGTATTTGCTTCATGGGCGTACAATTCGAAGAATTGTTTAAATGTTGCGCACCGCGCTTCAAAGCGCGTGATTTCGATATGTTGCCATATCGGATACTGTCATCGTGAATTTTTTATAGTCAAAATAGCCGCCATCTTGAATAATAAAGTATCGGGCAATTGATCTCAGAACTTGTTACCCGCGCCTCGGAACTTTTTACTCGCGCCTCGGAACTTGTTACCCGCGCCATTTTCACTGGACCCGCGCCATTTTCGCTGCACCCGCGCTATTTCTATTGACTCGCGACCCGCGCCATATAGACTATCCCGCTGGAAACCTCCTCAATAATAATCAGACAAAAACAGAAAACCATATAATATGCCGCATGTATTTGCCATTGCAGGGGGGGGGGGGGATACGCAAGCAGTAATTGCAATATCATAATATGCATTTCAGGCACTTCGCGGAAAAAAATGTCATAAACAAACACCTTAACGATGAAGTAAGTATTTAATTTGGAGGTTATATGAAGAAATTCAAATCATACTGCAGGACTTTTTTATGGCCGCAATGATATGCAATTCCCGTATCTTACCTGCAGGAGTATAAACCAGTTATAAGCCACATAAGCTCCCAGCTACGTTCGACAGTTGTGCTATAAAGATAATAGACTTTGTTAATTTTTTATCCAAGCGAAAATAAAAAGAAAGCAACAGAGTTTCAATTTACATCCCTGGTTATACAACACTACGAATGATCGGCACGAACAGAAATGTTGAATTTCCTAAACGCTATAGCATGCACTGCATGTAAATTCAATGGAGTCGTTTTGACTACTTGGGGTAATTTCGGTCCCTTGTGTTGAAGGGCAGTTTTGACTCCTTGGAAGGATCGTTTTATATAAGGGTATGACCCCACGATGTCGATGGGCTAAAATGACTCCTCGAGGGAGTCGCGCGACGTACCCTTCCTGAAGAGTACATTGGCTCCTTGAGGGGTAGATTAATTGACATTATTGCAGTTCCGTATTATGTAAAGGTTTTGTCATGTGACGAACAAACAACAATCCATTTATTTATCGCTTAAACATCATTTTTTTGCATGCCACATAAAATATCATTTTTGAATTGGGCATCGGTGCACACTGAAATTTGCACTGACGTTCCGACTTCACTTCGCCTTTTGATGAGCACATGGTATAAATGAACTATATAGCTGCTATGCATGATAATAATACACATTCAACTCACTCGTTCTCTTCCGTCTCTATGTGCTTGATAATTTCTCGATAAACGTGTTCTTCAGATACCCTCTGGAAGAAACAATTTGAGGTAATAGTATGGTTTTGAGTTCAAGTTAGGAAAAAATGCATGCACGAGCGAGTTTTTCAAAGATGGCCAAACTTGCGCAAGTCCGAAAAGAGAGCTAGCGAGTTCAATTTGAAGTTTTTGAACTTGAAACAGCATGCAGACTTTGTATATCCTCAATATACTCATCGAGCAATCTGAAAACCACATAGTACTCTCTGCGCAACCATCAACGATTATTAGGGCATTTACTGGACCTATAATGCCCGACAATTTCCAGCTGATATATATACCCTTCTGGAGTTGTTTTAATTCAATTTCATAGCATTCAACAAGGGATTCATCGAAATGCTTTCACCTATACAAAAGCAGTATATGACAATATTACCATTATATGCAACGGAAACCTGAAAACGACATGATCTTCATGGTCGCTCTTTTATATTTTGAGGTTTGTCCATGTTTCTGTTTCAGATACGTTTTAATTTTCGGTCGCACCCTTTATCAGACTTTTTCATGCAGGCTTTTCAGTTATATCTGTAGGATACTTGAATTCTATACGCAATGGGATGCATTATCTTTTAATCTTCTTTAATTACTTATACATGATATTTTGCTCCTTATATATAAGATTCCTATACTCACATTTCCCAATGGTCGTCCGAATATGGAATCTGTTAACTTCATTTCAGACATGACATCGCCTGCAGGCTGGTGAATATAAGTCATCAGAGGTAGAAAAAGTTAAGGAAACAACATATACAGTAGTTTTACAAAATAAACTGTTCAAACAATGTAGGGAAGTACGTAGGTCGACGGCGCAACGCCAACGACAAACAAACTCTTTGAACCACTTGAACGAAATGATTGAAAGGAAAACTTTCGTCTGTTATCCGTCGTATAAACTGATTAATACATGCAGTTTAAGGAACAAGGTTAAGACAAGGGTTGATGGTTGAGATGCATTCTACAACCAATTTGAACTAGCATGCAGTTGTCGAAGATTGAAATGTAGCTGTTGGTTACAAGACATGATAATCTATGATTTGCACGTAACGACTAACGAGAATTGTAAAGAGCTAGAGCAAGGACGATGTCTAAACTTCCCATTGGATAACCATTTTAATTATTCATTTCTTTTGTACATTGTTGATACGAATTTCGCGTTGTATTAATAACCGTTATTATTGCATTTTCGTCCTGCAAAGTGCAGTTATGGGCCTTAATTAACGTTGTACATGTTGGATTAACATATAGCCATATAGGACGGGTCTAAACAGACGTAAGAATATAAATCAATTTTGTTATATCTTGAAAAAGGATATCTTTATAAGAGTTACTTTCTTCGAAGGAAGGGAAACCAAAGCGTTCAGGACTCCAGTCAAGATCCTTAAAGGCAGATTTATGCGTATTTTCCTATATATGGAAGAAAATTAAAATATAATCGTAGAATTACCAATCAACTCGGCAACATGTCTGCAGATATAAGAATGGAAAATTCCCACACACGTGCATATTATGCTTTCTGACTTAAGAGCTAGAATGTGAAATTGAACGTGCATATAGCACGTTCAGATTACTGAACTAGTTGTTTCAATCGGATAAAGGTTGTATACAACCACTATCATGATTGAAAATACTCAAACAACACTTGTTGTTGGTCCTTAATTTCCTTCAAATCACATAAATGTAACCTGTAACCTGTAGCCTATGTAGATACGTGTTCTTGAAGGTTTACTAACTTCAGCTTTACCAGAAATTATGATAAAGGCATAGATATTGTGAATGAAATCAGGACATATCGATTGAATCTCAATGAGTGATGCATGAAATGGGAATCTTTAATAGAATATATATTTAGGTTATTTTATGGAACATCACTGTCTACTCATCATTACCTGAAGATCAGAACGATTTTCTTCGTGATTCTCGGTTAAAACAGCCTCGTCGTAATCTGGTATATCATGTTCAAGAGAAACACTGATTTCATCTTCGGCAACATCAAGAACGTGTTTATGTACAACGACGACGGTTGTTTCGGCGTTTACTTCTTCTTCTGATATTTCTGTATTGACTGAATGAATGACTATATCTGGAACTGCCTGATCTACTGTTGATGTCTGGTTTAAATCTTTCTCACCCAAATCCTCTTGGTCAAGAGATAGTGGCCCTCCATTCACTACATCTTCATTAGTTGAAGTTACATGTGTTTTACTTTTGTAGAGTTCAGCTTGCAGTTCTTGATATGATTTTTTTGGAATATTGATGGTGGGGTCTATCACATGTCTTATGTTTCTTTGTTCTGTCAACTGATTTCGCGGTGGATCATTTGATATGTATTTATACTGGTGTAGCTGTTCTGATGACGAATTCTCAACTATTTGACGGTTATCTACTCCGCCATATGTTTGATATATTGTCGGCTCCTTGTTCGACTCAACCCAACCTTGAACTCTTGAACTTGCTTCGTCAGATGTATTCTGGAAGAATAGGTTATTGAGATGATGAACAAGCGAGGTCTGGTGCATTTTGACTCACTATACGGTATTCGAAAACATCTATTCAGTCTTGACCGAGTGTACTACTTGTTTCACTATTTCAGACACTTTTGAAGGGGCATACTGAAGAAGAGGTATGGATGCAGGGGGCATGACTATATCTATGAATTTCGGGAAAATTCAGTACATGCTATTCTGTCGTGCATGAGGTTAGACTACAAGGTACAATGTATTTTCAGTATCATTTACCGTTATTGCATGTGAACGTCGTCAAATTAAAACGAAATCTTCAGTGTCAACGTAGTAAAAATTACCAAAAAAGGTAAAAATTACAATGGTAATTATTAAAAATTACTTTTTAAGAAAAAAATTAATAACGAATTACTAATTACTTGTCAGATTAGTTTTTGTTTTTGTCTTGAGCTGCTACAGTACGGCACGTACAGTAATTCAAATGTGTTGAATTTCATACTTAATTAATTTTAGTGAGGAAATAATTAGTAATTTGTAACTCGTTACTTTACTAACGAATACATTTACAACACTGCAAATCATAGCATGAACGTAACAGTAAAAGCAAACGTGCATGAAATCACATTTTCTTTGTTGTAAAGGATGTGAAGGGGACATTAAATGAGAAGTGAGAAGGAGCCGTGCGAGGTCGTTTGACAAATCTCTTCATAAAAGTGGGGAGGGCATAGAGAGAGGAGTTTATTTGAGAAAGGAGCTAATCTGATTTACGAGAAATGGCAAACAAATATACCAAATAACTTCATATTGTATGTGTGAAAAACCGGTTGTGACGTACATCAGGAATATTCGACATGTTGGATGTGCACATTCGAGGCAGATGAATGCTAGCCTGATTGTCAGACTCTATTTCCCAAATAGTGCCTGACACATGGAGACCTTAACCGATTGCTCTCCGCCCAAAGTAAAGTTTATATTTAGTATCAGATCGATCAAAATGTCACAGGATAAATGTCAATTTCAAACAATAACAACAACGTATCAAATTATATATAGTTAAAACTACGAAAGATATCATGAACGTAACAATAATAGTATAATCTGATTAACACTAACCAATCAAAAATCAACTTCGCTCATTTTAAAGTTTAAAGTAGATCTTGAAATACCTTTCGTGTTATTTCAGGTAGCAATCCTGAGCTCGCTGACATTTTGTCCTCCTGCACTTGCATCGGCTATAGTATATATAGAAATGATATAAATTTTGTGAGTTCACGGCAACCAGTTATAATATCAGTCATGTCTTCGCTCGCTATTCTGGTTTTAATAAATGAATGCAAAGCCCAGTCGAACTGCATATACGACCCAACGTTTGGATCCCTATATATAGCTGAGAATGAAATTTTTCACACGCGTGTACGGTTTCACTCGTCAGTTTCTGTTTACGTAAATTGTCTAAATTACTATACCTTTAAATCAATTAAATCCTTTCGTTGTTCCTTACGTTTCAATTCACTCTTTCTTAAAGCTGCCTAAATAAAAAATATTGTTGAATTATAGTCAGAGCTGTAAAATTACTGCTGAAAGAGGAATTAATTACATATTATTTGCCAGGGGTTTTTAAAGAAAAATTTGAACGGTGAACATATGGGATGTCAGAGGATTCAACCTGAACTAGTTTCATAACGTTAAAAGTAATAAATTAGGTACTATTTGTTATTCTATTATTCTACTCATTAATCTATTCCTTATAATTATTCACTAAATCGAATAAAAACCTTAGGTAATAGTATAGGTAATACAATGAGCGTTAACACGTGATGTAATCGTTCTCTGAAAAGCCACGATGAGGAGTGAGCTGAATAACGTATTTAATGTATATATGTATGTAAGATTAATGGACCTTTCCCCTTATAACTAAAATTTTGGTCTAGACAAACATTTCATCACAGCTTGAAAGAGCATCACAAAATTAGTAATATTCCGAAGTTTCGTTGCTAAATGTTGTAAAATGCGGATAATATAGCCTTGCGAAATTTGCAATTTTCAGTCATTTTGTATTACAAACGGGAAATTGATGCCCCAACACCCGATTGG